CCTCCCTTCCCCTTCCTTCCTTTTTTTGAGACAGGGTCTCATTACGCAGTTGAGGCTGGCCTTGAATTCATGGAATCTTCCTGCCTAATCCTCCCAAGTGCCGGGATTATAGGCATGTGCCACCACATCTGGCCTCAATATACATTTAAACAATAGCCTTAAACTTTTCTTTAGTAATTGAACAGTTGAATTATAAATATGTTTACAAGGCTGTTGGAATTTTAGGGAACCACACTAAAGTTTTCTATTTTCTTTTCTCCCTTTTTTATGTTTACTGGATTTTTTTTCCTTTCGACATGCATATTGAAGAATTTGAAGATGATCCAAAGAGGATTTTACATGACCTTCATTCAGAAGTCTGGACTCTGAAGGTATCTATCCATCCTACGATATTAATTTATCATTTTTCTGCAAGAATTGTTCTAACCTAAGTAAATTTAGTCAGAAGTTAGAGAAATTATGGGCAGGTGTAGAGTATGTGCCTTGCATGTGAAAGTCTATCAGTTTGATATCTAGCACCATAAGAAAAGAAATCAGAGAAATTATAATGTATTTTCTTTCTTCATAAAAGGATGATGTTAATGTTCTTCTTGATAAAGCAAGATCAGAAAGTCAAGAAAGCATTGATTTTATTAAGGCAACAAAACTACTGATGAAAAAAAATTCAATGGATATCATAAAAATAAGAGAATTTTTCCAGAAGTATGGATATAATCCACGTGTCAAGGAAAATTCAGGTTTGTCTTTTGTTTTATAGCATTTGATTTGGTATTGAAGAAGGCAGCATGACTCAGCCACCTGTGGGCTTGGCTGTACTGTGTCGTTCTGGCCCTGCCAGGGTAAACATTTATTCAGTAGTCACAGTGTGCTGGGCAGTGATGCAGTGTAAAAACAGCCCTTGCTCTCCTTTCCTCAGTACTAGCTGAGGACTAACGCAGTGCTAGTTGAAAGAGTTCTTGGAGCTTTGTAAATTAAGAAGTAAAATAAATCCACATGATTTATGATAGGCACTTTCTTCTCAGCTTTACCAATAAATACTAAGAAACCTTGAAGTGTACTATTTTATTTTTCTTATTCTCCATTTCCTGTTCTAAACAATGAGAGATTCTGGCTATATAAGTTGATAGTCTTTTTAGTTTTGAAATTTTACTGAAGGGTGGTTTATGTGCTATATTTGGTTTTTGGGTTTTTTTTTTTTTTTTTTTTTGGTACCAGCAATTGAACTCGGGTCCTTGCACTTGCGAGGCAGGCAGCAGAACCACTGAGCTAAATCCCCAGCCCAAATTATTTATTTATTTATTTATTAGGTACCAGAGATTGAACTCGGGACCTTGCACCTTGCCAAGCAAGCGGCAGAACCACTGAGCTAAATCCCTCGCTCCTATGTGCTATATTATTTTTGGCAAGTTACTTAACCTTGTACCACAGTTTCCCATTTGTAAGATGAAGATGTGTAAGACTAAAAGAGATAAAATTTGCTTAGAGCAGTGTCTAGCATGTTGGTTACCCAACATTAACTACTGTTGTTATTGTTCAGCCCGGTAATACCTCTGACTAACTTCAGGGCCTTCATGTTTATTGTGAAAATGACCCTTGTAGGTAAAGAAGACATTAACTAAATTCATCAAGTCTTTACTGAGGATGTGTGTGTAAGCCTAAATGGTGTAATAGAAAGAATTCAGTTGTCATTACTGTTAAAGAATCATGATTCAGACAATGGCCAATCAGTAAGAATGTGTGTGAACCGGGATAATTTCTCTAAATTGTCAGAAACATATTGGAAGCACACTTGAAATAAAATTTTTATAGAAAATCAGGATTTTTGCCATTGGGAAATTTCAGATGGAGCAATTTTATCTTAATAAATGAGACTGTTTTGAGGTTTGACCAAAATACTACCTCTTTCATTTTCCTCCTAGTCTGTGAACAGGAAATTGCTGATTCTACTCCAGAAATGGCCAGCTGTGACCATGTACAAAAGCCTCATGGGAAGGACGAACTGCCTGATCCATCTGCCCCAGGTGGTTCTGTTTCTGAGGAGCCTCTGCGCAGTCCACAGCTTGCAGATTTTGGACTGGAGCGGTATATGATACCTCAGGTTCTACCAAACCCTCCACAAGCCATAAGCAACCACAAGGAAGACCCCATAATTGAAACTCCACCTACCAGACAGTCAGTAGTTAAAATACTAAAAACTCCAAAATGTGCTTTAAAGATGGATGATTTTGAGTGTATAACTCCTAAATTAGAGCATTTTGGTATCTCTGAATATACTATGTGTCTAAATGAAGATTACACAATAGGACTGAAAAATATGAAGACTATCAAAAGGTAAGTACTTTCCTAGAAGGTACATTTTTACCCAACTTTCCTAAATCTTTTCATTTATTGATTTTCTGTGGGGGGGTTGCAGGGCATCAAACTCAGGCCCTTGCGCTTATGAGGCAGGTGGCAACCAAATCCCCGGCCCCTGTTGTTTTTTTTTTTGTTTTTTTCTAGAAGAAATTTGATGTTTCAGATAATATTTTTTTCTTTAAAACATTTTCATATAGGGGCCAGGGATTTAGCTCAGTGGTTCTAGTGCTTACCTCTCAAGCACAAGGACCTGAGTTTGATCCCCGGTGACAAAAAAAAGTTTTCAGATAAATTGTATTTTAAATTTCTGTGAATCATTAATTCAGTTATTAAAGTGAAGTGAGAGCTATTGATTTACTCAGGTGATGAGTGTGATTAAAGCCTGAAAAAAATATTTATAGAGACTAAAAAGAGAAAATTAAAGAACTAAAATTGTTAACTATTTGTGGTTGCTTTGGTATGAAGACTTGGGAAGAGAGAAGGATCTAGGAAAAACCTATTTCTTTTTTGTTATCTGGGATGATTCTAAGGCATAAGAATACCTGCAGCTTGAGGTGAAAAATGTACATGATTTTGAGGTACTTGAAGATATTCTTACTGCCTAGTAGACTTAGGTATTTTAGTATGAGTTTGAAGCTTAGTGTGAATTCAGTGCTAGACTGAAGTCATCTGGGTGTGATTACTGTGAAAGCAGTAATTGAATCACTTGAGAAAGTACTCAAGCAGTATTTAAAGATAAATCTATATCGTTGAGAACTATTATCACTAAAAAAGGAAAATAAACATTTATCTCAATGAGTCAGGGAGAAAAATAATTCCAGAGAAGAAACCCTAAAGATAAAACAAAATGTTAATATAGAAAATTTTTAGAAAAGTAGAATTGAAAAATCTTAAGAACTGGTTCTTTAAATACAAGCAAAACAATTAGGAACTAAAACCAGGGTCTTTTTGTTGTTGTTGTTGTTGTTTTTGTTTTTGGAGACAGGGTCTCGCTATGTAGTTCAGGCTGGCCTTTAACTCTCAACTATCCTGTCTCAACCTTGTGAATGCTGGGATTATAGGTGTGCACCAACACACTCAGCTATGTGAGAATTTTTTTATGCTTTTAAAAATTTATATTTTTAGGGCCGGAGATTTAACTCAGTGGTGCAGCTGCCTGCTTCAGAAGTACAAGGTTCAGAGTTCAGTCCCTGATACCAAAACAAAAAATTTTTTATATTATTTTCTTATATAAAAGAAACCCTTTGATATTTAAATTTCTTTTACCTATTTAACATTACAATTATGATCTCAAGACCTACAAATGATATGATTTCATTCTTTATGCTTGAATAATATTCCACTCTATATAGACCACATTTTCTTTCCCCATTTGTCTGTTGATGGACAGCTGAGCTATCACCAAAGCTGCTTAGAGATTGTGAATTCATTTCTATAAACATGGGTATGCATATTTTTTTTGTTGTTTTGGAGGCTTTTTTTTTTCTTGGTTTTATTTTTTTTTTGAGAAAGATCTCACTTTATAGTTCATCTTGGCCCTGAACTCACTGTGTAGCCCATGCTGTCTTTGAACTTTCAGCAATCCTCGCGCCTCAGCCTCCGGAGTACCGGGATTACAGGCATGCACTACCACGCCCAGGGCGCATGTTTTATTCTTTAAACTATTTTCACCATACGGTGTAGTATTGGGAAATTTGAAAATTTCAGACAGTTTCTGGAAATCATACAGAGTGATCAAAATTAACTTGAAGAAGAAAACCTGGACGTACCAATAATCAGAAGAAAACAGAAACATTTACTAGAAACCTAGCTCCAGAAGTATTTGAGCACAGTGGTTTTCTGGATGGCTCCTTTCCTAACGTCAGAGAACCCATCTGATCCGGGGACCTTCAAACTCATGAAACACCATGTGTTTATTTCCTCACTAGTGAAATGGATATAACTCTACCCATCCTATTGATAACACAAACCCAGTACAGGACAGTGGGTTAAAATTATTAACTGCTAGAAAAATAAAATAATATAATGTAATGATATCAAAATAATGCCATAAAAAAAGAACTGTTATTCTCAGGGGCCTGTAAACTATGTGAGAAGGCAAATCCATCCTGATTTCATTGAAGCTTAATTAGAACACAACCTCAAAAGTTCTTTTTCAAAAACTACAATATGACAGAAACACCTGAATTTAATTAATGATGCTGATATAATCTTGATACACTGACAAAACCCAGAAAAGAAAACTGTAGCCCCATCTAATACATGAATACAAATATATAAATCCTAATTAAACTATTCAAAATTGAACTCAAATATTAAAAGCATAATGAGCGATAGATATTAAGCTAACTAAACTATCTAAGATAGCTAATATTTGGGAACTCAAAACATTTTTATATAGGGAAAAAGTAGAATACTTTTGGTAAATGTCAGTGATGAGTTTGATAAAATTTGACATCTGTTTTTCATTGTTTTTGTTAGTTGGTTTTTTTCTGTTTTTTGAGACAGGTTCTTAGTACATAATCCATATGGCCTCAACTTCTGGTGATCCTTCTGCTCAGCCTCCCAAGGGCTGGGATTACAGACCAGTGCCGCCATGCCCAGTTCTGTTGTCATTTAAAATGCTTGGTCAAGCCAGGCGTGGTGGCGCACGCCTATAATTCCAGCACTCAGGAGGTTGAGGCAGGAGGATAGCTCTGAGTTCAAGACCAGCCTGGGCTACATAGTGAGTTCCTGGTCATTCTCAACTACATAGTGAGACCCTGTATCAAAAACAAAAACAAAAAAAAGCTTGGTCAAACTCTAAGTAGGATACTTAATAATAGTGAAACTGTCACCATTATTAACATCATTCTTGATCCTGGACATTGTAATGAGATAGAAAATAGAAATGAAAAGTCTCTGTGCTGTATATTTAGGCCAAGATTTTTTGTTTCGTTGGACAGCTGGTTAACTGTTTGGAAAAAGATCAAGTAATTTTTACCTCATGTTAAATTATAAATAGATCAAAAATCATTTAAAAAGTGGAAGAAGCAAATATAGCTAATTTACCCATTAAAGTGTGGGTACATGTATATTTATTTGTAATTGCGAGAGACTTTTAAATTCATGTGACACATTTAGATATCTGAATGATATTCAGATATTCCATTCAGGAATGTAGAATAGAACATGAAGTTTGTAAAGGATGGGAAAAAAAAACCCTACAAAATACTTGCAACAAATATGACACAGTGCTATACCCTTTCACAGCTGTTATACACATATTGATAAGAAGTGGTAACAAAAAGCTAACTAAGAGGTGACTAAACTGCATCCAGGAGTTAAGTAGAAATGATTTTGTAAATATGGAAAAAAACTTTGGCTGTTAAAATAGTATAAAGTTATATTTACTGGGGATGTTAGCTCAGTAGTAGAGTGATTGTCTAGCAGGTTGTGAGGCCTCGATTCAAGCTCCTTAACCACCAAAAAGATATACAAAGAAATATGTATATCCATATACTGTTGTATATACAGGATGTTAAGAACTGCATAGTTCATTTTATTCCAATTCAAAACTGGGCCCTTCTAAGATGGAAGTTGACTGGATCATCATCAACGATGTTGGATATTATTTCTCTTTATAACTATTCCAGACAGCTATGTACTTAGCTAGGACAACTTTAGTAAGTTGGTAGGGTCAGGCATTTTACTGTAATACACTGATGGCTTTTTAACTATTTCTATGTACTATTTCTCTATACAGGTTACAAAATTCTACTTTGTGATTTTGAACCTGTGAGTTACAAAATTCCCAGTTTGAACTGAGTTGAGCTTAATTGCTTTAAGTTATAGATTCCTACTGTACTTCAACAACTGTCAGTAGAAAATGGTTCATTAACTCTTATGAACCACAGCTATATATGTATATTTTTAAAAGGATTTGTTCTGTGGAACTTCCATTCCATTAAAAAAAACAAAACAAAACTGAACTAGTCCAGGCTTCATGATTCATAGTGAGATTAAATTTTTCCTCAGAGGTTTAATATTAATTTATTTAACTTTATAATTTTTTCTTATGAATTGTTACCAGTGAGATGGCTGTAGAAACAGAATTCATGACCGATGATAATAGCTTTGCCACTCCTCTCCCCATAATCCAGCAATTGGAAAAAGGAGGTGAGTTTTAAAACTCTTTCTGTTCACTTTCAGTATTTGTAAGCTTTTTTGTCACTAACATTTAAATTTATTTTTTTATTTAGTTTATTGGTACATTTTAGGTATACAGTACAGTTACATTCATTACTGGGATCTTGTACCTTTACATGACAGGTCTTGGTTCTCATTATTTTCCCCTTATCCCTGCCCTCGCTTCACCCTCTCCTCCCCTCCCCATTTACAAACACTTTATTTCCATTTTTTCATTTTCTCATATTTTTTTCTTTTCCCTTATCACCTTTCCCCCACCCTTCCCACTTTCCCTACACCTTTAGCCCTTTTCTTCCTATTTCACACTGTCCATTATCTCATTAGGATCTTATGTACTATTATAGTTTTCCACACCAGAGGAACTATTCGGTATTTATACATGTGTGACTTATTTATTTCACTTAGGAGTATATCCTCAATAAGTATCCATTTTCCTATGAATGAATCTAACTTCTCATTCTTTATGGCTGAGTAGTATTCCATTTTGTAGACAAATCACATCTTCTTTATCCAGTTTCCAACTGATGGGCAAATGGGCCATTTCCAAGTTTTAGCTATTACTAACATTTTAATTTAAAACATATATATTTGACCTGGGTGTGGTGTGCACACCTGTAATCCCAGCACTGTAGGAGGCGGAGTCAGGAGGATTACAAATTGGAGCCCAGCTCAAGAAATTTACTAAGATCCTGTTTTAAAATAAAGGTAAAAAAGATTGGGGATATAGTCCAGTGAGAAAGCTCAGGGTTCAATACCCAGAGCCCACCTCAACAAAGAAAAACATAACTGTTCACCAGTCTTTTGGTATAGAGCTATATAGTACTTTTCTTTTAGTTTAGCCTGTACCTGTTGATTAGAGTTGTACATTGTCTTTCTTACATAAACCACATCTAGAATATACCAGCTACCATTTCAAATTTTGATTATTTTTAGTTAGTTGAATACTTTAGGAAAATTTTCGTGTATTATTTTCATATTTGTCCCAGCAATGACTTTTATTGTGCAAATATAAAGTTAAAAAAATCCTAGTCTCTGAGTAATTTTTATAATTAATTATTTGATCTATCCCAAATTTATTGGCAAATCTTTTAAGAATGACTTTTTATCAGATCTTTCCCCAAGTTTCAGACATATTTTCAGAAAATTTTTCTTTTTGTACGAATTATACTGACATAAACTTATGTCATCGATAAGTATTGCTAGTATAAGCTAGTATAACTGATTCATAGTAGCTTATGGTGCCCATTATATAAAGAAAACATGAATACACTAAAGAAATGCTGATTTTTTTTTTTTTTTAAATGGGACTGTCACTATACACCATGGTCAAATCAATTCCCACTGCAGTATAAAATGTTTAAAAACGATAAAGGAGAATATTTATATAACTTCTGAACTGTGATAGGCTTTTTCAAGAATAGTTTATCTCTTGGGACAGGGATCTGCCTGCCTTGCAAGCACAAGGTCCTGAGTTCAATCCCCAGTACCAAAAAACAAAACAAAACAAAAAAACTCCACCAAAAGTAGATTACCTCCTGAAACCCCTCAGTATACTATAGTCAGTGTATTTTATGGAGGGAAAGGAAAGCTTAGGGTTACCCATTGCTCATCTGGGTAGAAGTTTAAAGGTGATTGGTGTATTTTGCTTGGATTCCATTTTTCCCCACAAGGTAACATTATTCCATTGAATTAGCATAGCCTCACTAAACTTGGGTAGTTTGTTCATCGTTTTCCATGTTCACATTGTTTCTTTTATCATACTCACTACTTCAGGCTGTTTTCCTCTTGATAAAATACATTAGTAGCTTTTTTCCAAGAAATTATTTCCAGTCTGCATAATCTCCAGTTTTGTCTGAAGACATCTTTTTGTTTTTCTTTTACTTGTGGTGCTGGGGACTGAAGCTGGGGCCTCCTGTGCTCTACCACAGAGCGGTGTCCCCATCCCTTTTCACTCATTCTTGAATGGTAATGTAGCTGAATGGAGATCACTGGATTGAGAATTGTTTTCTTCCTTAATTTATATTTTATTTTTCTGGGGATTCATTCTTCAGTATTTTAAAGAAATTATTCCATTGTGTTGAGTATCTGTTGCTGCTGATAGGCACAGTGTTTTTGGTCTAATTAGCTTTCCTTTGTAGATAATCTGTCTTCTTTCTGGTAGTCTGTAACATTTTTGTCTGTTTTTTATATTCTCTAATTTATCTACTTTTATATTTGTTTTATGTTAGAATTTAGTATAATTTTTAAATCAAACATTCATGTCATTAATTCTGGAAAATATTGACATTATTTCTTTAATAAGAGCTTTCTTCTAGTATCTCAATTTTTCTCCTCAAATTCCTTTAAAATGTATTTCACATTTTTTTCAGTTGGATTTTGTTTTTGGATTTTTGAGACAGTTTCACTATGTAGTCTAGGCTATCCCTGAACAAACAGTGATCCTCCTGCCTCAGCCTCAGTGCTGGAATTATAGGCTTGTGCCACCATTCCTGGCTTAAGATATATTTTAGAATTTAGTATTCTCTCCTCTTGGCTTAACTTCCCAACCCTTTCTCTATGCTTTGTACTTTATTTTCCAGTTTACTGTTTGAATATTATTTTAATTCATTTATTTACTCTAGATACATGTTTTGTAATCTTTTTCTTTCAAATTCGTAGAGATGAGATAGAGCTGATCCATAAAGCTCAGAGCTTGACAAGCTGGCAGGTCTGTGCACTCTCTTTCCTTTCCATGATATCTCTTGTGTTCTGATTTCTGTGCCTTCATAAGTTGTTTCCACTAGAGTTCTGTACCCTGTGGACCATGAAGTAGTCCCCGTTCCGCTCTCCATGGGACGAGTAGGCAAACTGTTGGCAACTGCTTAGCTCAGAAGAACTGTACTGGACTTGTGCAGTGATCTCATCACCTGGAACCATTTACATTAGTTTGCTTACTAAGAGATAGGTTTTTTTGTTTGTTTGTTTTAATTTAATTTATTGGTACATTCTAGGTAGACAGTGCAGTTCTATTCATTACTGGGATCTTGTACCTTTACATTACAGGTCTTGGTTCTCATTTTTTCCCCTTGTCCCCACCCTCCCTTCACCCCCTCCTCCCCTCCCCACCTTCAAACAGTCTAATTCCATTTTTGCATTTTCTCATATTTTTTTCCTTTTCCCTTATCCCCCCTTCCCTATCCTTCTCACTGTCCCTACACCTTTTGTTCTTTTCTTCCTATTTGCTAATTGTCCCGTTAGGATCTTGAATACTATTTTAGTTTTTAACACTAGAGAAACTATTCAGTATTTGTATTGTTTGACTTATTTATTTCACTTAAAAGTATATCCTCAAAATGTACCCATTTACCTATGAATGAATCTACTTTCTCATTCTTTATGGCTGAGTAGTATTCCATTTTATAGAAAAAGCACATCTTCTTTATCCAGTTTCCAAATGATGGGCAAATGGGCTGTTTCCAAGTTTTAGCTATTACAAACTGTGCTGCTATAAACATGGGTGTACATATATCACTGTGGTATGATTCTTTTAATTCTTTTGGAAAGATACCCAACAGAGGGATGGCTGGGTCAAATGGAACCTCTACTCCCAGCTCTTTGAGGTATCTCCATATTGATTTCCACAGTGGTTGCACCAGTCTGCACTCCCACCAACAATGGAGAAGGGTTCCTTTCTCCCCACAACCAAGCCAACATTTGTTATTGTGTGATTTCTTGATAGCAGCCATTCTTTGTGGGGTGAGGTGAAATCTGTGTTGTTTTCATCTGCATCTCTCGAGTGACCAGTGATGTGGAACATTTTTTCATATATTTACTTGCTATTTTTATTTCTTTGTCTGAGAAATGTCTGTTCATTTCAGATGCCCATTTTTTAATTGGGTCTTTATATTTGGGGGGGCTGGTTGTTTTGAATTCTTTATATATTTTAGATAATAGTCCTTTGTCTGAGGAACAGCTGGTAAACATTTTTTCCTACATTGTAGGTTGTCTTAGTTCTGTTGGTTTCTTTTGCAGTACAGATGCTTTTTAATAAGATGAGATCCCAGTTGTTGATTCTTTCTGCTAGTTCCCATGCTACTGAAAATTTGTTCATAAAGTCTTTTCGTATGCCAGTGTCTTCCAGAGTTCTGCCTAACTTATCTTCCAGCAAGTTTAGTGTTTTTGTTTTTATATTTAGATCTTTAATCCACTTGGATTTTAATTTAGTGCATGGTGACAGATAAAGGTCTAGTTTTAATCTTTTGCAGGTTGAGATCCAGTTTTTCCAACACCATTTATTAAAGAGGCTCTCTTTCCTCCAGTGGGGACTGTCAGCTCCTTTGTCAAAGACGAGGTAGCTGAGTGCATCTGGAGTTGTTTTTGTGTCTTCCAGTCTGTTCCACTGATCCTCAGGTCTGCTTCTTTGCCAGTACCATGCTGTTTTTAATCACAGTGGCTTTGTAGTATAGTTTCAAATTGGAAATTGTTATACCCGCTGCCATGCGTCTTTTGCCTAGATGGCTTTTGCTATTCTAGGTCACTAAGAGAGAGTTTTTATGATTATTATAGTCTTTTTTTCCAGTACCAGGGATCAATCTTAGGACCTAGAACTTGCAAGGCAGGTGCAGCACCGCTACATCCCTAGCCATTTTTATTATTATAGTTGGTGCTTTAATGAAATTCCTTTATTTTCTTATATCTAGAAATAGAATCCCTAGGTCAGTGGTGGCAAATCTATGGCATGCATGTTGTTTTTCTTTTAAGACAAAAGATGTTAATGTAGGAGTTGTTTTTTCTTAAACAAAACCTCAGTATTCAGGTTTAACTTTGTGTACTCTGTATCTGGCTTCATGATTGATAACATCAGCTGAGTATTTGTTCCCTTGTCAGAAGTTTAACTGGTATTAAGCTGGCTCCCATTCTGTTGTTTACACAACCCTCAGGTAGGATGTTAGGTCAAAGACCTGTAGCAATCCCGATGCCTTGTCACATCACTGGAGGGAAGAGAGACAATCATGTTAGACTCTTAAGGGCTGCTATTACTACCTAAGGCTCCCTCTGGTGGTGTATAGCTGTTGTTGCCTTACCCAATCCTTTCTGAATTCATGGGCATTGTTCAAGTGGTGCCATTCTCTTAGGGGAGGGGTCTGTACAGAGGAAGAGCCCAGGAGCTTTTAATGAGACATAGCTGTCTGGCTTTGGGACTCTGGGTTTGGCTGAAACATCACGTATTGTTTGCTTTGGGTTGGATACCAGCAGGTGCCTACTGCTTGATTTCTGTTTAAATGAGGGACTTCAAGACTAGATAGCATGGCTCTTTTCATTTTATTGCATGAAGGAGTTATACAAGTGGTAAAATTTTAAACTTTGACAAGGGAAGAAGGGAAATTCTATTCATTGCAAGGAAATCCTCACTTAAGCTTAACAGTGAGCCACAAGTACTTAAAACCCACGAACCTCTAGCTGATCATCCATAGCCAGTCCAGTCTCTCCAAAACAACTCTGTTGCTGCACTACTTCTCCATGTTCTGGATACTCAAGTACAGTACCATCGCAGGCCAGTTTCTTCACCAGTGTGTCATAATCATCAGTGGTCCTTTGACAGGAGTAGGGTGTTTCAGCTTTTCTCTGTTGAATTGTTACATGTATAGAATTGTTAGTGCCAGCAGGACTTAATGCAGCAGCAAGAGCTTGAAAGAGTGGAGGGTCTAGATACTAGACATGATAAGATTCCTTATCCTTGGTGGAAACGGCCTTACTGTGGAAGTGCTGTATGAGATGGCAGGGGGAGATTGGAGGAATGGAGCCCTGGAAAGTGATGGAGCCCAAAGAGGAGGCTGCCAAGTCCCAGTGGCAGCTCAGTGACTGGGTGATTGTTTTTAACATGTGCACAAGGGAGCTGTAATATGTGTCTCCCTGCTGGGCACTTGAACCACTGGTTGTACATGCATGACTACCACTTGTACCAGCTTAAAGCCAGCAGAAATGTGTTGAAGATTGGTTTAAAATACTCTAGAAAGCCATGTCTCTGCATGGGTCTTTTTTATTGCAATAGATAATATATCCATGCTGATCCATGTTATACTTCTATAGTAATTAAAACTATAGTTTTAGACTAAGTTATGTTATCTTGGAGAGCAAGCAACCATCTCTCCTTCCTTTTCTTCACTTTTCTTCCTTTTCAACAGTTTAGTGATTTTTTTTTTCCTGTTAAGATTTTACAAAATTTTCAATAATTTATAGATAGCTTTGTTGCTATTGTGAACCTTTTTTTCAAATACTTGTTTTTAAGAGCTTGCTGCTTATTTTTATCTTATTACATATTAAAACAGAACCATTCAGTTATTATATAGTACTTTTGTTGTAATCTTACCAAATTTTTAAAGCTAATGATAAACACATCTGTGAATGAATTTTTTTCTTCTCCAGTCAAACACAAAATGTAATTAAATTTCTTAAGCTTGTTTGGTGTAACTAAGATTGAACTCAGCACCCTTGCACTGACCTACATCCCAGCACTTTTATTTTTTGAGACAGGGTCTTGCATAGGCTGCCTTCCTTGAAGCATCTGGGGTTACAGGCATGTATTACCATGTCTGGCTGTTTTTTAAGCTATTAATAATAAAGTACACAGATTATTGACAACTCTTTAAAATTTGAAATTTTTATTTCAATTTTATTTTCAAATCTTTATTTTCATGCCTATTTTGTCTTTCAGAATCCAACTACACAGATTCCCCTTTGACACCTACATTCTGCACTCCTGGTTTGAAAGTTCCTTCTACAAAGAAAAACACAGCTTTGGTAAATTTCTATAAAATTGAAAACGATAATCTTTACTCTAATGACCCAAATACTGATTCCAGATACATGTATTTTATTTATTTATTTTGGGTTTTTTTGGAGACAGGGTCTCACTATGTAGTTGAGACTGACCTGGAACTCACTGTGTAGCCCAGGCTGGTCTCGAACTCACAGCAATCCTCCTGAGTGCTGGGATTAAAGGTGTGCGCCAACACGCCTGGCAAGACACATGTATTTTAAATATACATTTCTAATTAATAGAAACACCAAAGTGTGGCTGGTTTAATGCTTTGTTTCCTCTAAATTTTTCTATTAAATTTAACAATAATCAGGGCTGGGGATTTAGCTCGGTTTTTCTGCCGACTGCCTCACAAGCACAAGGTCCCAAATTTGATCCCCAGTATCCCCCCCCCAAATTAACATTAATCAAAACCTTATGACTTTAGTCAGTAGTAACACTTAAAACAACCTATACTATAGACAACCAATACTCTATTAGGTTATCCAGTAGAATTATTGATAATGATTGAAAATGTTTCATACTCTGCCATGTTCAATATGTTCAGTAAGTATATATAGCTAGTTATCGAGCACCTAAAATGCAGCTAGTGCAGCTGATTAAGTAATTTTTAATTTTGCACTTAAAACCTTTAAATAGCCCCATATGGCTTGCGGGTAATATATTGGGCAGTGCTGCACCATCAGTTGTATTATCAGGTTATCAAGCCTGTTGGTAATTGGTTTTTACAGTTAATTTACTTATGTTTTGATTCATGTGGAAGGTATTGTACTGATGAGATATTCCCCAGTACCTGTCTGTAAATAACGCTGATCCTAGGGAGACGAGTGACTTCCCTGTGTGGTCAGTCTAGCATGAACACATTGTATGAGGAGCTTACCTCAGAGCAGTGTGCCTGCTGAGGGCCTGTGAAAACACTTGGTCATGTATGCTAGGACTCTCCTTTGGCACAGTTAATGTTGCCCCAGACAGGGTGGGTGGGGCCGTTTAAATTTGGGGTTGACACAACATTTATAGTACTCACATCTTTATTAGTAATGAAGATGGTATTTTGTCCATGCCATTTCTTTATATTTGTAGATTTTGTGTAAAACTTGGTTAGAGAAAAAAGGAATCATTTTGGGGCATGTAGAGACTCCCAACACTTTTACTATCATAATTTAATGATTTATTTTTATTCTGTAGGTATCCACAAACTATCCATTATCAGAAATACAAAGTTCATCAAATGATTTTGAAGTTAAAGATTGTACTTCATTAGTTTTAAATTCAGACCAGTGCTTGGAGAATTTTGCAGACCCTTCTTCGCCTACAATTTCATCTTATGAGAATCTGCTCAGAACACCCACACCTCCAGAGGTAACTGCTATTCCAGAAGATGTTCTCCAGGTAATATTTCCAGGCAGGATTATTTTTTCCGACACTGTTTTCAAATTAGATACTTAAATTAAGACCTGAAATTGCATATAAAGTATCATCTTTATCATTAGGCTCATGTATTAGTTTGGTATTGAGAAAATACAAATTCTAGGCTGATAGGCCCTTCAAAGACCACCTGGCTAAACAACTTCTGAGCTGTGTACATACTAATGACTTGCCACATTTTTAGTGATATTATCTTCCAAGAGTCATTTTCTCTTGACCCTTACCTTAATCTTCTGAAATATATTATTTCCAATAAATATTCAACTGTAGTCACCATCTGTTTCATTGGAAGTGTTGCAGGCAAAGTAAAAAATGTAATTTATCCAACAGTTCTCCAGAGTGAAATATCTCTAACAACTTAAGCTTGAGACTTCTTGGACTTGTTTTAAAAGCACTGATTTATATGTATTAGAATATTTGATTCTTTATTGTAACATTTATCACTGACAGTCATACTAGTCTGATTTTTTTGACATTCCTTCCCTAACAGAAGTTAGTATTTGGCAATTATTGCTTAGGCACATGGAATTCTTAGTACTATTCTAGAAAGTCTTGGCTTACGAGGCATCATGAGAAGGACAAATCACTTGGGCAAACACAAATGCCATCAGAACTGGCTCATCCTATGATACCAAAATATCTGTTACCATGTCTGGTTTTGATTTGGTTGCTTTTTTTTTTTCCCTTTCCTGAGAGATAATAAACTAGGTAAGGAAGGAACATCTGCATAGTTGATTCTTCTTTTTTTTGGGGGGGTGGGTTTTAAGACAGGGTGTCACTATGTAGTTGAGACTGACCTGGAACTATTGTAGCCCAGGCTGGTCTCGAACTCACAGCGATCCTCCTGCCTCAGCCTCCCGAGTGCTGGGATTACAGGTATGTGCCACCACGCCCAGCTATCTTCTCTTATTTCTTTGTGAAAGGAAGGAAACCTCCTGAAAAGAATTCGTAAATGTTTTAGATTGTTTTGTACTCATTGTAAGTGATGGTTTTTGTGAAGATTCATTTCAGATTTTTCCTCTTTGTATTTCCCCAAAATCTTTGTAAAGGCTTACTTTGCACTGGGGTGTATTCCTACTTGTTTCCAGTAACCTAAGGTAGAGTGCATTTTGGAAGGCTCTAGAGGTCAAGCCCTCATATCCAAGTTAAATTTCTAGTATGTCCATGTTGTATTGCTATTAAATGTATGCTAAAAAATATTCTAAATATTTTAAGGAACCTTTCTTTATCTTCACATTTTCCATTGTTGTCCTTGAATGTTTCATAATACCTTTCAGACTTAGGTCATTCATACAACCTGATCAAAAGGACTTTTTGTTTTAGATTTTGTCAAAATACAACTCAAACCGAGCTACTACAGTAGCAGTGAAAGCAGTGCCTCCCAGGAAAGGGCTCCTCAAAACCGAAGGATGGAATATCCCAGAGGTTGGCAACAAAGAAAACTGACAAAAGTGAGTGCATTGCCATTTAAAGGATGTTTTATGTGAGGACATTTAAAAACATTAGAATAGTAGTAAAAACAGTTCTTAGTTAATAAATGCCACCTTAGATTAATAACCTTTCTTGTAGGACCAGGGATTTAGCTCAGTGGTGCTGCTGCCTGCTTTGCAAGTGCAAGGTCCTGAGTTCAATCCCCAGTACAAAAAACAAAACAAAACACTGTCTTCTATCTTTTGATACAGAAATTGTGGCCTGTGAATCTCAGATCCCCAAGTTATCACATTTGTGATCTCAGTGAGACTCTATACCCAACTACAGTGGTACTTTGGTTCACTAACACTTTTGTTGGCAAACAATTTGGTTTGCAAACAGAAGCATTTAGCAAAATTCTGTTTTTGTTTGCGAACTCTGCATGAGGTGACAAATATAAATGTGGCCATCTTTTTCAAAATCACAGAAAAATTTAAGTTCATGAACTGAGTACCACTGTATTTTGTAAATTTAAAATATATATCTGTGTTGTCATGTTTTGTTGGATTTTATACTTACTTGTTATTTTTAATTTTTGTCTATTTACAGAAATTCTAGTGGATCCATCCATTATACAAACTGAACAGAGTTAAGAACGAAGCAGAGCTGGATTTATTTGTTATTAATAGTCCTTTCTCACTATAGGAGGATAAGGATCAGAAAGGTTTACAGTAGATGACAATAAAGATTTAGGCATTGGCTTATCTGCAAAGGGTTCTCCAGTTTTTTCCTGATAGCCTTGGCCCCTCAAAATTAGTTTGTCTAAAATATATCCTTCCCTTACACCCACCTCTGGCTTGTTGCTTAGATGACTGATACTTGCAGCTCCTCAAACTTCACACTGAGATCATCCTTCAAGGCTGGAGATTTGACACTACCACCCCACCTCCACCCAGCACCACCGTTCTGTTTCACCCATTCTTCCTGCCTCAGGGCCCTGCACATACTGGCTGCTCTCTGCCAGAAACTGACTATGCTCCAAGCAAGCAGGTATGAGCAAATGCTGGAGCTTCAGAGAAGTCTTGAAAAGAACAGTGTGCTACCTGTCTGGGGGTGCACAGAGAGCCCACACACAGGCACCCAAACTTCCTTGAGGTAGGTTGGCATCAGCCAGCTCTACTTCCTGGACATCTCAGGTGAATGGCCCATTAACTTGCAGTTATCCAGCTGGAGTTCTCTTGTTATTTCAGACTTTTAAGTTTGATGCTTCAGGGTCCTGGTTAAATATCATTTTAGGACAGACTTTACCAGTGTAACAAAGGTCTTCCCTCTTTTAAGTTCTCAGCATTTTCATCCCTCATAATACTTGGCACCACCAATAGTAAGATTTTTGCTGGGGTGCATTTTTACGTTCTCCTTCCCCCTCCAGATTACATGCTCACTGAGGGCAAAGGCTTGCTTGCTTTGCTCCTTACTCTGTTATCTAGCATATTTAATGAATTAGTGAGAAAATCAGTTACTAAGATTTTACTCTGCCAGGAATGGTTCTAAATGTAATTTAGTTAATTCCTGGATTTGAGGTAGGCACCTGTCTTTTCATATGAGGAATATTACTGATTACTGACTTTTCCTGGGGGGGAGCGTGAGTTGTCATTTCTTCTGTTCATCCTGTTTCCTTGATAAATCCCATTTCTTTAGGACTTAAGAACACTCTTTTACCATCTCCAGAAAACTCATATTACTACACAACACTGCCTTTAGTAGCCGGTTTTCTTCTTTGTGATAGTCCTGGTCACCTTTTACCTAAGCATATTTGTACTGGTAGGCCTACAGTACTTGATATAGAAGACAGGCTACTGAAAGTGCTAAGGGACGCTCATCAGGAGTGTGGGAGTACTGCAGATTTTCTGCCAGCTTCCACTAGCTCTAGAATTTAGATTTTGAAAACCCTTTGTTAGGTTCACTTTCTTTTTTTGATGGTAATGAGAAATGAATCCAGAGCGTTTGCACTGAGCTATACCCCAGCCCAATTTTAAGACAAGGTTCAATACCTTGGCTCAGGCAGGACTTGACTCAGACTTCCCAAGTATTGAATTACTGGTATGTGCTGCCATACCTGGCTAAATGGCTTTACTTTTATTAAATTATAGGAATTTTTCTTCAAACTTGGTTGTAACTGGGCTGGCATGCTAGCCTAGGCAGAGTTGGAAATTGTGAAGAGGAGAAATGCCTTCCTCCTTCACTTCAAAGGAACTAATATTGCTCATTGTCGACCAGGCTATCTCACTGACTTTTCCTAAGTTTCGAGTTACATGGATGTTGCTAACACTGTTTTGCAATAAATTCTGTATAATGTTCCTAGGCAAGGACTTCAATTACTTTTGTATAATATAGTATTAAAATTGCTTTTAGGTTTTAGCCTATTCCTAGCCCTCTGGAATTTTTAACTGGTAAAGAAAGTATCCATGACTGTCTTCATAGTATAGGCCTACTCATGACAAGTCCGACCAGAATAAACATGCTTCCTTCAAACTTTTATTACAAATCACAGGAAGTAATAGCTACTGACAAAAGCAACCAGTATTGAAGCAAAAGACAAATCCAATCCCTCAACCAAATGCTGTTATCACACTCAAACTGGAAACCATGACCATATATGGATGTCTGTAGTTTGTACAGCAGGTCCACTTACCCTAGATGACTATCTTGGCAGACATTTATTAGCTGTAGGGCATAACTTCACTAACAGCATAGTGTGGGTGGAAGCCAGACTGCAATGAATCGAAGATGAAAGGCCCATATGCCCATTTTAGGGGGCAGTAGGGGATTAAACCCAGGGCTTTTGCACTGAGCTACATCCCTCGCCTTTTTTGGACCCAAGATCTCACCAAGTTGCCCAGCCTCAAACTTGCAGTCCTCCTGCCTCAGCTTGCCAGGGGTGATAAGGGTGCCACGAATACACCCAGCTTATATGTCTCATTTCTGAGCTGTTAAAGTTTGGCTCTGATCTGAATGGAAACCAGTTACAGCATCTCAGTTGTAAGGCTAAGATGATGCCTGGTAAATTTAGCAGTTAATCATTTAAATCATCATGAGCCCAGTAAGTGTTGTTTTGTCAATTTCACAAAAAAGTTTGGAATATGTTTGTTTGAATGCAAAGAGGTAGGCCAAGTTCAGTTTTTTATTAAAGAATAACAGTTTGAACCTTAGAAAATTTTAAACCTGGCTTAACAGTTTAATAGCTTTCTAACCCACTAACATGCACTTGTGCACAACATACAACTGATACACTACACGAAACATTACCCGAGTCAGTGATTAGAGTTTGGGCATACATAATAGTCCCAGTTTTGCTGGGGGAAAACAGAAGACAGAGGCAGGGTCATATGCTGTACTTCAGTTTCAATGCCTGAAGTGAGGCAGTCGGGGCAGATATGAAAGCACTGAGGAAGATGCTGTTGTAGTGACCACTTATTGTTCTTTAACTGTACTTTTAATGGGAAATTGAAATCTATCTGTAAAGGAAAAATCCAGCAAACCAACCAAACTACTTTACATGGGACTGTACAGAAACCTTTGTAAAAGTTTATAGCATATGAAAACTGGCCGCCTCTTAGTTCCTACCCACTAGAGGTACAAATAAATCGCACCCCCCCCACACACAAATGGGAAGGCAGTCGTTGCTATGCTCCAATAAAATCAAGAATTTTATATATAAAATCCAAGTCTACCTAGTCTGAATAAACAATCTGAAGGTTGTGTGGGGTAAGCTACAGCATCACAGACCCACTAGATCTAGGTTGCGGTTTCTTTTAATTTCTTTGTCAGGCACTATAAGCTTTTATACAGGTTAGTATTTCTACTTCTAAAAAAAACAAACCAACAAAAAACTTGATTGAAGCAATGTGTTCTAGGGTAGAGTGACTAACAGTCAACATTTAAATGTTTTGTCTCATTGGTCTTAATCACCATACTATACTTCCTCTCAGATCAGATACACACCAGTGCCAACCACATAACAAAATATGTGAGATTCCATTCACCCCACCTCCCATTAAGTTTTTTGAGACAGGGTCTCACTATGAGGTTGAGACTGACCTGGAACTCACTATGTAGCCCAGGTTGGTCTCGAACTCACAGAGATCCTCCTGCCTTAGCCTCGGGTGCTGGGATTAAAGGCGTGCGCCACCACACCCGGCCCCATCTTCAGGTCTTAAAAGGTAAATCTTCCCAGCCTTACCCTGAGCTCCAACCCTTGTTTCTTCTGTATTGGTTCCTGCCTTTAAAAGGCCCCTGATCATTTGTAAAAGCCAGAGGCCTCACTGAAGTACTGTTCTTTTTTCTAACCATGTGTCCCTGCACCCTGCTCAAGGCAGACCACTCTTCCAACTGAGCAGCTTCTCAAACCTGCCTTGGCACATACTGTTTCAAAAAAGCCTTTGCTGGGGCTATATATAGCTCAGTGGTGAAGCAACTGCTAGTAATGCCATGAAACCCTGGGTTTGATCACAAGCACAAACAAAAACAAACCAAAAAAACCTCTGCTGCCTCATTCTCACAGGTCTTTTTTTCTAACTCTGTACCTTAAATTTGTGCTCGATTTTCATATAGTCCTGTGGCTTTCTTGTTCTGCCCTTCTGGGGCTTAAAATATCCTCTACTTAGTATAAACCCCCAGAGTGAGCTGAAACTCTGTTCCCGTGCTTCCATGAACTCTCACACTTAGGCTGATTGCACACATAATTTAACAGTACAGTTTTTCATGGAATGCTAAGAGCACTTAATATTTTACAGAAGAGCTTAAACACAGACTTTCTACTATTCATATCATGGCACACCAAATCTAACTCCTAAATAGATGCATTACAATTTGCTTAGAATTTAAAGGCTTAATGGCAAAAATCAGGGGAGGAAAAAAGCATAAATTTATTTTACATATCTGGATGAAAAATAAATTCGAGCAAAAAAAATTTAATACGGTCTCATACGCCCTGAAGGAGGTGGTGCCCGATTGGGTGGGGTAATGGCAATGTCCAGGTAATCACCTATTTGGAACTTCTGTGACTGCAGAGTCATGGAATCATCCGTCCCCTTTCTGCCAGACATGGTGCTGCCAATCTCCTTAACTCTGCAGGAAAGGAAATCAGCTGTTAATGAGCTATAAACCCACAAAAAGAACTGAGTATGGACATACTACAAAGTAAACAGGACTGGATTTGCTCTATCTTGTAACAGTTCAAAAACTTAAGGACTATATTAAGTTAAACCAGATATGAAGATAATATAAATCCACAGACTATCCACCCCACTAAAGAGACTGACTGAAAGGACATCAGTTAAAACACCCCAAAAAAGATTATAAGAATTACAACAGAGGAATAACCTACCGATAGCCAGGTCTTTTAAGATCCATAAAAACAATTGCAAAATTGAAGTGTGTACCCTTCTTTCTAGCTTCTGGGTAGACTTCTTTCACTAAACTAGTTAGTTCTTTCAAGGTTGCATCCATCCTGAGTGTTTAAAAAAAGATAATTACAAATGATTAATCAGCAATGACATAACCAGAATACTGAAAAACGAGGTATTACATGTCTGAGTTATGACTTACGTTAGAAGCTACCAGTCTTACACTAAAGTCTGATTTTAAAGCAATTACAAATACTATTTTCCTCTAAATACTCCCTGTACTAACCTGAATATCAGACATTTAGGTAAGTTAAAAAGTCAGACTGCTAGGACTGGAAATGTAGCTCAGTGGTAGAGCACCTGCCTGATATATGAGGCCCTGGGTTTGATCCCCAGTATGGCATTAAAAAAAACACTCGCTAAAAGGGATTTCAGAAATTACATATGCTATCCTCTATTGCTACATAACAAATCAGGGTTTTGTTACCTCTTTTAAAAATAGTTCAAATTAATTTAAATACACAAAATAATTTCAGTTTGGGTTTTTTTTTTTTTTTTTTTTTTTTTTTTTTTTTTTTTTTTTTTTTTTG